TTTATTAATAACAAATTATTTCTTAAACAAAACTATTAAATATAAATTAGGCAAACGTGCATTGCACGTTGCTTGTACCTAATGTATATATACATATATACATATGTGTGTGTGTCTTTCCCTTTAGCTTTATGAAACCCTCATTTCAAACAATCAATGTAAATCAGTCAATGCTAATCATAACATGTCACCGTTCAATGAATGACTTTAATCCAACTTTTGCAATCTATATTTAACAAAAAAATTGGAAATTGTAAAAAAATAACTTTTTGACTTCAGTGTGTTTTGATTAAGAAATTCTTTTACTCACTGGATGTTAATCACACCTATTCTTATAGATTTTTGTATAATTAAATACGAAAATAATATTGATTTAATATATCATAAAATAAATATATTATGTTGTAATGTAATACTTCATCCGTCTCGTAAAGATATGATTGCTTTCATTTTTCGTCTATTTCAAATTAGCAACTTTTTTAGTTGAGAGTAATTAATTTTTGAGTTTTCAAATATACCCTCATTTAATATGTATTGTTATCAATAAATAGAAATATGGGAAAAATTCATATATCAGGTATTAAGTATGTACCAGTTCAATTTTCAGAGATAAGTTTAAAATTTCAAAAGTCTGGTATTAATTCAATATTTTAATTTTAAATAATAATATTATTAAATTAAATTAATCAACTTACCCCACCAAAACCCGTCCCACTCCCTGCAGTTATCTATTGCCATTCCTTTGCATAGTTGACGACATCCATCCATCGTCGACATCCACCCTCCAAGTTACTGGCATTCAAATAACTTCACCGAAGGAAAGATAGAATTTACAGATAGAGGGAGAAACATAGCGGTCGTTGGATAACATTGACGAAGCATTGTCGGCGACTGAGCAGTGTTAGTATAATTTAAATCTATTTTTTAAAATTAAAAATTGAAAGATAGCCCCTAGTGTAATTTATAGAGTACTCACCAGAGCAAATAGCTTCAATTCTCACCATCGAAATCTGGTTAATTGAAATTGTGACAATTTTGGAGAATCGAGGTCGGAGATATCAGATTTCTTGAATTTGTGATCTGCGACCTATGCACTTTGACATATGACCTGTTACATGTTATGACCAATTTCAATTGATCTGTGATATGTGGACATTGATCTGCAACCTATGGACATTAATCTGTGACCTACTCATAGTGACATGTGCTTTGTGGACATTGATATGTGACTCACACACGATAACCATTGATGTATGACCTATACAATATGATCTGTAACCTGTGGAGTGTGACTTGAGACATACAAACATAATCTGTGACCCGTGAATATTTATACGTGACCAATGCACAATAACCAGTGACCTGGTACTAGGGATATCAATGGGTCGAGCCGAGCCGGCTCGGCCCATACCCACACGAGCCAAGCTCGTGGCTCGTTGGATTTTGGGCGAGCTCGGCTCGTGCTCGAGCTCGCCCAAGGCGAACGGCTCGTGGGCTCGTCTAAATTTAATTTTTTTTTTCTAATTTCTTCTCCTAACATTCTGAGCGGCTGGTGGGCTCGTCTAAATTTAACTTTTTTTTCTAATTTTCTTCTCCTAACATTCTATAATCCCCTCCTACATTTTTTTTAAAATAATAAGAACAAAATTTTATTTGTTGAGTATTGTTTTTTGTTTACCCTTTTATATTTTATTAAA